ACCCCCCCCTCCCAGCCACGACTTGGCCCTGGCAGCGCTATGGCTGCCCTCTGCCCCGTGGAAAGCTGCCAGCGATACGGTGTTTTCCAAATACTTCCTTGAGATAGAAAAGAGGGCACATATGCCATTCAAAGGACTCAGTTTTTCCACATCAAGTTGGTCAGATGGGGCTGCAGCTCTCTCAAGCAGGGAAAGGGAGTTTTAATACCACTTTCCTCCTGACTACTGAAAAATAGCAGCAACCTAAAGCATGAGTAATGACCGTGAGGTGCTGCAGAGGCGGCTGGGGGGCCGGGTAGAAGCAGGACAGACCACGCTGCTTCGAGGTGGCTCTGCCCCATGGACCGGCCGCAGAGGGAAGAGTGACTTACGATGACCATCCACACAAACAAGAGACACTGCACGGGGTAAAGCAGAGCCCGTCTCTCCTTGAAGGCATCACGAGGCCTGAGGACCGTGTGGTACCTCTGGGTTGAAGGGTGCTCCCAAGAAGGCTCCCTGCTCCTCGACACGCTGATATTTAACCTTCCGGGTGCGGGACAAAGCCAACAGCCTCCTGGGTGCCAAGGGGACAAAGTCAGTGCCTCGCCTAGCCAAAGCCACCGAGAGCAGAGGTGCCGATCCACGAGGATACTGGCAGTGCCACGTCTCAACAGGCAGAGACCTAGGGACTCAGGGACAACTGTTAGGAGCCTAAGAGGAACGTCATCCAGCTGGTACCTAAGGCAAATTAGGAACGACGGTGTGGTACCGGCAACCAGCGATCAAACCAGGGTACGATGCTACCGGATGGTGCTGAGCCTGCCCCAGGCTATGCCAAGGGCTGAGGTACCTTGTCTCTCTTGTGATGGGCAGGAAAAACACCCGGCACACCCTCCGCTTTGCTTTCCAACATGGGTGGAGGGGAAGGTGTGGGGAGCCTCAGCTCCAGCCCCCGGTGCCGAGCAGCACCGAGCCGAGGTGGCAGGATGGCCGTCACCCCATCACACACACCCACGGCCACCTGCGCTCGGTGACAAGCCATCCCTGGCACGTACACCAAAGCACTTCTCAAAGCCATCTGCACCACGCCTTCATCCCAATCCAGCACCGTACCCACTAGGGTAAGCCGCCTAAATTGGCTCCCGCTTATCAGCGTGGCCACAAACTCAACACTACCGGGTGCAGGGTAAGGTTTGGGGGAGAAGGGGGTGCAAGGGAACCTCGAGCAACACGGGTGGGGTGGGCAACATTATCAATATGATAATAAGTCAATTCACCTAGTGAATCTGGGGAAAGCCAGCCCAGAAGCAGAGCTGTGAAGTGCCTGTAACACCCTTCTCTGGCTACTCCCTAAGGCTGGAAACACACAACCTAGAGAGGTTCACAGTCTATTATTTTTTTTTTTTAAAAAACAACCCCCCCACCCCACCCTGAATCTCAGCAACTCAGCAGCATCAGTGTTTAAAAACCGGTGTCCGTTCCCAGGTGTCGGCGTGAGCTTGGTCACAGTGTAAGGACCGCTTCCCTGGCTGGGGAGCCTGTGGCTGGGCAGGGGCTCACCGTGCCGGCTCTGCCCTTGCCCCGCGCTGCTCTTGTGCCCTTCTCGCCAGCGTCGCCGCACGGCTGCCCTCGTGGAAGGAGAAGGGTTGGTTGTTTTTTTTTTTCTCCCCGTACAGCAGCAGGGACCTAAGGGAGGTAAGAGCATCCTGCTAGCCTTCTCCCAGCCGCTGCCCCATGCGGCCTGCGTCCGTCAGTCCGACCCGCACGGGGTGCGGTTTGGTGTCCTCTGCTCCGAGAGCCGACACCCAAAATGTGCTTTAAAAAAAACCCAAACAAACCCCTCTTCACCCTGCTCTTCCCAGGGCATCGTCCGGGCTGCCAAGGCAAAACGGGAGCAAAACCAGACGTGGCTCCAGAGACATGTGTCTGAAGACAGCAAGGATGATGCTCAGATCGTGAGCCGTGCTCCTTGAGCCTCTTCTTCCTCGGCAGCCCTCTGTGTTTGCAGAGCACAGCTCCGAGGACTGGCTGGTAGGTAACTCTCTCAGAAGGAGGGTCTGTCCTGGTCTGTGCGCTCCCGAAGCGAGATACCACCTCCCCACGCAGAAGAGAAACACCAGCTCCTCGCGCGACGCCGGAGAACGCGGCGGGTCCCCGTTCCCCTTCTCTGCGGTGGTACTTTTCACCCCCCACGCATCCATTCCCTGGTAGGTGAGCAGGCGGAGGCAGCTCGCGTCCAGCGCTAGCCCTGTACCCCACGGCCCCCCATCACGCACCCCCTGCAAAGGGGTCAGGAGAGCGTCACATCCTATCGCACCACTCCGAGCACAGGGAAGGGAGCAACACGGCTAGAGGAGCTCCTGTCCCCCAACTCCATCCTTCCCAGGAGACGCGAGGAGAGAAGGGATACAACACTGGAAAGAGATCCTCCGGTCAGTTCGGTCCTATGGCAAAGGGGATTAAGCTCCCCTCAGCCTTAAACCAAAAGAAAACGAAGTCTATGGAATAGCTTTAGAAGCAACGCCTCTTCTTCCGTAGCGTGATGTCAGTGCCTGCACAGGTACCATCGTATGCTTCCAGCAGGAAAAGGAAAGAAAAAAAAAAAAAGAAATACCCCTTCCCCCCCAAAAAAAACGGAAAAACTGGAACAGGGCTGCGAGATGGACTGGTCCTACCCTATCTGGATCTGGCCAGAGTACATGGTGAGCAGCACCATGATGGTGAACCCCGTCAGCAGCCCCGCGTTCTGGATGGCGAAGGTGATCAGCGCGCTGCCGTTCTGCTCGTCCTCCTGGCTGACCTCATTCATTTCGGGGAACTGGGCAGGGAGGAAGAGAGAGAGCGATGGCAGGGCTCAGTGACAGGAGCTGCTCCGTCCTTACCCGCTGCTTCCCACCCCGTGCCACCGCCCCGGCAAATATTCACCACCCGGCCCGGG